TCTGCACAAGGCTCTTCAGTTGCTGTCTCACTTTTCGTGAGAATTTCAAGGGAAGCACAGGTTCTACTGGGGAGCGAGCCCTTTCGTCAGAGAGCGAAGCTCCGCTTTGGAACTGGCCACCAGAGAACGAACCGTTCAACCAGGGAACGAACCCTTCTGCCGGGCAGCGACTTTTTCTCCTTGGCCCCGTGGGTGCCTGTCAGTCGGACAAACGTACCCGCGGGGGCTTGTCAGTAGGACCCAAGGGGCTTGTCAGTAGGACTCCCGGGGACTTGTCAGTAGAATCCCCAGGAGCTTGTCAGTAGGACGCGCGTGCCCGCGGGGGCTTGTCAGTTGACCCCTGGGGGCTTGTTAGTGGACCCCCCCGGTGGATTGTCAGTGGACCCCCACGTGTTTGTCAGTAGGATCCGCGGGGGCTTGTCAGTGGACCCCTGGGGGCTTGTCATTGGACCCCCCCGGGGGCTTGTCAGTGGACCCCTGGGGGCTTATTTGTGGACCCCCCCGGGGGATTGTCAGTGGACCCCCACGTGTTTGTCAGTAGGACCCGCGTGGGCTTGTCAGTGGACCCGCGGGGGCTTGTCATTGGACCCCCCGGGGGCTTGTCAGTGGACCCGCGGGGGCTTGTCATTGGACCCCCCCAAGGGGGCTTGTCAGTGAGTCCGCCAGGGCTTGTCAGTGGGCCCGCGGGGGCTTCTCAGGGCGGGCTTGTCAGTGACGTTTACGCCGGGTCAAAAATCAGGGAATCGCGCCACCCCCAGAGGATCGGATGTTGCAAGAGGTCATGAAGTACTGGTAATCTCCAGGATTTTTTCTTAGGTCTCCAGGATCTCCCAGCTTCCCCAACGTTCGGCACAGGGTGCAGAAGTGAGCGCCGCCAGTGATTCTGGAACTCCTTGTCCTGAACGAGTCGTATCATGACACCACTCTCTTCCTATAGGAGGAAGTGCTCAGGGACGGCATCGCGGCGCAGTTTGAGGAGCACAGGATCCCCCCGCTCTTCGGGCAGACGCCCGACCTGGACGCGGTGGGCGTGGGCGTGCTGAAGGCCATCCACACCTCCTTCCGCGAGAAGCGCTGCAAGGAGATCCGGAAGTGGCTGAAGGCGCACCCGAAGGTGACGAGGTGGGTCGCCATAGATCGAGGGACAAAAAGCGGCACGAGCACGACCTTTCGGAGGCCCCCGCGGACTTCTCGGATCGGCGCTGGGCCGCTCTGGCGGAGCCTCTGAGCGCCACCCCTGCCGCGCTCTGGGCGCCACCCCCCAGCGCGCTCCGCGCGCCAGGGATGGGGCTCCTCCTCCTCCTCCTCCTCCTCCTCCTCCTCCTCCTCCTCCTCCTCCTCCTCTCCTCCTCCTCCTCCTCCTCCTCCTCCTCCTCCTCCTGAAACGAGCGCGGACCTCCGACAGTCTGTGCTCATGTGCAGTGTTTGTTCGTCGAACAGACGACATCGACCTTAGTCAGCCGGACAAGGAGCAGCTGCTGGCCGAGAGCAGCGGGAGCGCCAAGGTCAGCGTCTTCCTCGACCCAGGCAGGGAGTTCGTGCGGTGTAACCCCACGACGGGGCTGACGGGCGAGCTGGCCAGGATCGCCACGTGTTTCCTCAACGGCGTGGAGGTCACGGACGAGATGTTGGAGGCCGCCTACGGCGCCAAGGAGGCTTAGCTTCCCCGGACCTCCGACGCCGTGGCTTTGGCCACGCAGACCTCGGAGCCTCTCGACCCCCCGTCCCCAGATCCCCCTTGGGGTCCTGCCTCTGATGGCCCTGGGGCGCTCGGAGACGGTTACAGGGGCACCGAGGAGGAGGAGGAGGAGGACGAGGAGGAGGAGGAGGAAGAGGAGGAGGAGGAGGAGGAGGACGAGGAGAGGAGGAGGAGGAGGAGGAGGAGGAGGAGGAGGAAGGAGGAGGGGGAAGGGTAGGGGAGGTGGAGGAGGGAAGATGAGGAGGAGGTGTAGGAGGGGGAGGGCGGGAGGAGGAGGAGGAGGAGGAGGAGGAGGAGGAGGAGGAGGAGGAGGAGTATGGAGGAGGAGGAGGAGGAGGAGGAGGAGGAGGAGGAGAGGAGTGCGGAGGAGGAGGAGGAGGAGGGAGGAGGAGGAGGAGGAGGAGGAGGAGGAGGGGGAGGAGGGGGAGGAGGGGAGGAGGATGAGGAGGAGGAGGAGGAGGAGGAGGAGGAGGAGGAGGAGGAGGAGGAGGAGGAGGAGCGAGGTCTAGGGGGAGGGGAGGAGGAGGAGGAGGAGGAGGAGGAGGAGGAGGAGGAGGAGGAGAAGGGGAGGAGGAGGAGGAGGAGAAGGAGGAGGAAGAGGAGGAGTGCACCCGCGCGTCCCGGGGGCAAGAGAACTCCGCTGCTCCTCAGGGGAGCTGTCGGTCAGTGCCGGCCGAGTAGACGTCATCAAGAGGGGTGCCGCGCACGCACAGGATCCCCCCAGATGCCTCCTGCGTGCCGAGCAGGAAGGCACGGCGCACGGAGGAGGCGGCTCACGGGGAGCCGCTCTCGCGAGACAGGAGGCACGCCCGCGCCCCCGAAGACCCGACGTCGCGAAACAGTCGGGAGCCTTGAGACGGGGGTCAATGCAAAGGGGGTCAGCCAGAGCGCCGAATCTTGCAGGATCCTGCAGGGCCAGGGTCGCATTGACCCGGGTTTGGGTGTAGGATCCTGCAGGATCTTGCAGGATTTTGCAGGATCTTGCAGGATCCTTCGCATTGACCAGGGTTTGGGTGCCGGATTTTGTAGGATCTTGCAGGATTCTGTAAGGCCTGACTGATCTGGGTCTGGATTGACCCAGGTCCGAAGATCCCCGAAACAGGTGCAGCATCCAGAACAATCAAGACCGCAGCCCTCGACCCCGCCGTTTTGATGCACCGACCGTCCACCGCGAGGATCTGCTCATGCATGCGAGGCGTTCACGAGGGGGCCTCGTCTTCGCGGGGCTCAGGAGCTGCCCTCTCGTCCTCGGCAGAAGGCGGCGGAAGGTCGGCGGAGCCCGGCGGCAGGCCTGCGGAAGCCGTGGCACGTCAGCCGGGGCGGGCAGATATATCCACGTCCACACCCACACTGCTCCCCGAGCCTCCAGTCTGGACGCCCGAAATGGGTACGGAAAGGATGGGTACAATGCCCAACAGCAGTTCCTGTTCATTCTGAACAGGACCCGCTGTCCGCGCCGCCGCGGCCTGTGTCCATTCGAGACAGGAGGCCGCCCGCCCAACAGCGGCCGCTGTTGGTTTGGGACAACATTTGCTGTTGGGCATTGCACCCATTTTTTCGGCACCCATTTCGGGCGTCCAAATCCAGTGGGGCAGGCTCCCGCGGCAGCGCACGTGGACGTGCTCTGGCGGCGCACCCCAGGCCAGCACGACCAGTGGGGGGCCCTGCGGCCCCGAGCGCCTGCGAGCAAGAAGCGCCGGGCGCGAGGCATCGGCTTCGCCCGAGCTGGTCCTGCGTCTGCGCCGCCCCCCCGCCGATGCACGGTGGTTTGGTTGGGCCTTCTTCCCCCTTCCTCCTCCGCTGTCGCTCTCTGCTTTCCCCCCCGCTCCGCGCGCGCCCCGCGCTCGGCACGCCTCGCTGGACTTCCCCCCCCCCGCCCACGACCGCTTGCGCTGCCGATTTCAACAAGGTGCGTGTCGGCCCCAAGGGGGCGGCGCGCGCGGAAGAAACGCCTGCGAGGCAAGTACTCGGTGGCGGCCGCTCTCCGCTGGGGCAGCGATAGACTATTGGATGGTTGTGCCGTATGATCTGGTCGGGCGCACGCCTGCAAGGAGGTCACATCGTACTACTTCGGGCACCGCGAAGGTTGCTGAGGGGATCGGGGGCTTACGAGCGGATGCTGATGCGGATATGGAACTGGCCTAGAAGTGGAATGTTATTGATGCCCAAACATTGCTTCGAAATGATTCGTAACTCTGCTAAGTGGGCTCCGCCCACGTAGCCCAGATCTTTGCCCCCCGTAAACCGCTCAGGGCACTCGCATCCCGCTTATGAGCTAGGTTCGACCAGATACGATCCACCTTGGCATCCACCTCGGACCTCTATCCTCTTAGCAACCCCCGCTGTGATCCAAGTAGTACGTCCTTCTACGTCCCGAGGCAGGCCAAAAAAGGAGAGGCCACGGCGGCCTGGAGGTCCGGGCCAGAGCCCGCTCGGGCGGCGCCCGCTGCTGAGCTGGCGGAGCCCGGCAGTGCGCTCGCGCGGGGGGCGAGCCCGACAGGGGCCGGCGCAAGAAAAAAGAGGTACGATGACCATGAGCAAGACATTGGGAATTCAGTCGACGCCGATCTTGGTCATGGTCCATGCCGGCTGTCGCCGATTCGCGAGGAATCTTCGCAGGGACGCCATCAATACACCACCACCAGCCCTGGCCATGCCCATCTTGGGCCCTGAACTAGTGTACAGGCCCTCCTGGCCCAGGTGGTGTACGGTGGTGGTGTATTGTTTGGAGCTTTCCGAATTCTCGAGGAACAAAAGATAAGCATAAACACCGACTTTTGGAGATCCGCGTGGATAGGTGCTGGGCCCCCTCCCTGGCGCGCGGAGCGCGCTAGGGGCGGCGCCGGAGGCGCCGACAGGGGGCTCCCGCGCCGAACTGAGAAACTCGCGCGGACCTCCGACAGTTTATGTTCCTGCAGTGATCTGTGCCCCGAGAGTGATCCACGAGTGTCAGGAGAGGAAAAAACACACACAGACACAATTAATCGTCGATTCCGAGGATAATATGGGAAAATATGGGAAGTGGGGGGGAAGACAACAAACCCAGAAGATATGGGGAAATATGGGAATGTTTTTATTTGTGTGTATTTATTTGTGTGTCCTGGGGCCCCTTCAGAGTGGACGGGTGGACCGAGGTCGGTCTCTCCCCGCCCGGGTGCCCCGCGCCCGCCCCCGCGCCGGGGGGCCCCTCGGGAGAGGTCCCGTGCCCGACAGTGCGCCCCTCGGCGCGGAGGCCCTCCGCGCACGGGGCGCGGGGAAAAAGTCGGGGGCGGAAAAGAGGGGTGTGAGGACTAGGGGGGGGTGGATATCATGGCGGGGGCCATGATATCTCCCCAGATCTCGTGGCGCCTCTTCTTGTTTTATTGAATCGCTTCGCTCATTCCGCCGGCCCATAGTGTAGCGTCGCTGGCACTTGCTTGCGTGCTCGGGGGGGCATTTGGGTGGCCTCCTGGGGCCGCTTGGGGGCCTCTTGGGGGCCTCCTGAGGGCCTGTTGGGGGCCTCTTGGGGCCTCTTAGGGGCCTCTTGGGGCCTCCTGGGGACTTCTGAGGGCCGAGGGCTCGAAATATTGTTTCGTGTTCCCCCCCTGGGGTCCCTCTTGGGGCGTTCTTGGGGCCCTCTTGGGCCGTCTTGGAGGCCTCTTGGGCCGTCTTGGAGCCCTCTTGGGCCGTCTTGGGGCCCTCTTGGGGGCCTCTTGGGCCCTCTTGGGGCGGTCTTGGGGGCCTCTTGGGCCGTCTTGGGGTGTCGTGAAGCCGAAAAGGTGGAAACGCCAAAATCTCTCCAAAACCTAAGGAAAAGCAGTGAATTTTGCCTCTTGGGGCCCTCTCGGGAGTGCTCTTGGAGGCCTCTTGGGGCGTCTGGGGGCCATCGTGGGCGTCTTGGAGCGATCTTGTGGCATCTCGGACCCCTCATGTAGCATCTTGGGGGCCTCTTGGAGGCCTCTTGGCCCTTCTTGGGGCTCTCGGGGACGTCTCGTAGCCGCGTTGGTGCGCTGCTGGAGCGCCCTGGTGACTCCTCCCGGGACTCTCTCGGGACCTTGCCGGGGTACTTTCCGCCCGGGGGCCCCCAGGGGCCGCCCCGCGCGCGCGAAGTAGAAAGATTGTAAAGCAGTCACAGGAGATCTTAGCACGCCTCTGGCCCGTTGGGCCGGCGAATTACATCCCTGGCCCCCCCGCTGGGCCGCACACATGCCGCCGGTCATGATTTGCACCCCCCCCTCTTGGACACCCCCCTCTTGGCCGCTCCCGAGCACAGGGCGCGGGGAAAAAGGAAAGGGAGTCGGGCACCAGAAGCTGCACGAACATGATTTCTCGGAGGTCCGCGCGGAGTTCTGTGGTCGGCGGTGGAGCCCTCCTTCCCTGGCGCGCGGGCCGCGCGGATCTCCGAGGAATAATTATGGGTCGTGCCATCTTTCTTCAAGAGAGGCCGCGCGCGTCGGTTATACGTGGATGCTAATATGGGTATATCTGGCCCAAGCTAGCTTATAAGTGGGTTACAGATGCCCAGATTGACTCAAAGGAGTTAGGTAATTCTGGCAAATGGGCTCCGCCCACTTGGCCCACATCCTGGCCCCCCGTGGGCCGCTCAGGGCACTTGCAGCCCACTTGTAAGCCAGGCCGGGCCAGACATACGGTGGGGGCGTTGGTTAAGGAACGTGCACAGGAGGCTTCAGACCCTGGATGGTTCCTCATCTGATGAGGGCGGCGGTGATATCCATGCCAATCCACGATGGGAGTCCGGTCGGATTCCAGACCCTGACTTCCTTGTACATGTATTCAACGCTTTCACCGTCACCCACCTTGGCATCCGCTTGGAACCGCCCTGCCCCCCTTGATAGATGGGAGGGGGGAATGGTGGGGATCAGCGAGG